TGCTTATGTCCCTTCCAGTGCCTGCTGTTACAGTACCGTTCTTCTCTTTACTGCTATTGTGCCACTGGAGAGGAGGAGGCTGGGATGTTCAAAAGGCTGGACGCATTCCTGATGAATTGCTGCAGTGGCAGATTTCATGCCAGGCAGCACATTATGACGTTGTCCTGAAGGACAGCAGAAAGCAATACGTTCAGTGGCTGCTTGTTGAGGTCTTCTCACGGAGCTCTGAGTTTTCCCACTCTTTTCCCAGTCTTCTCACCCAGCCCTGGGTCTAGACCATGTCAGCTTTCTCTGCCACTACAGGGGTCTCCTGCTGACCTATAAAGTCTGGGGCTCTGCAAATGCAAATAAGTTATTAGTATGTTGCCTCTTTAATTGGAGATAGGCTGTGAGATGCTGGTGTTCACCAGGAGCTAAGTCTCTTAAAGTATTGCTATAGTTACTTTTTGGTGATAGGAGGACATGCAGAGTGGTCTTGGATTTTAAATGTGGTTTTACTCTGCCTAAAAACTGACTCTGTTAGGCAACAGATTAATCTTTTCTGCCTGACGTGACATGTTGTTAAATATTTCACTACAGAGCGTGCAGTATGCCCAATGTGCTCCCTAGGACGCACAGGGTGGTTGCTAGCCACCCTGACTTCCTTCATCCCTCTCCACACTGGCACATCACATTGCCACCTTAGGCAAAGTGCTCTCTCTTGCAAACCTTTCCTTCCAGCTGATAGTAGTCCTCAAGCACACTCTTGAATTCTTTATTCATGTGTATGTTTTGCCCAGCTCCAGGACAGTGAAAGCCCATGCAGCCATCTAAATGCATGGCTATAGTGTGCTGCGTGGTTTGGGTTCCTATAGCTCAGGAGGTTCAGGCCTAGCTTCAGGCTAGCTTGCTTCTTCCATTATCTTTTCTGAGTGCTTCCTTTGTATGGTCTGTGTTGAGGAACATTTCCTTCAGCTGTCCTACAAGATTATTTGCCATCTTGAGAATGCTTTTTCTTTGCCCTTTCTTTGTAACCACTTTGGGGCTGATGTTATGTCCCGTTTTGGTCTGGAATGTGTCCTGATCTCTGCAGAGATGGTGGCACCCATGGACCCTGCTCTCTTTCAAGCCACAGAGGTCCTTAGCCATAGTTGTGATAGAACTGGAGGCCTGACTCTCCATTTGCAGTTATGTGAGAAGAAGATAAGAAGCCAATGTTTTCTGGGTCAGCATGTGGAGCTTCAAGACCCTCTTCTTTCCACTTTCCTCTGATGCTGCCACAAACAGCTGAAAACTTTGCTCTCTCTTAGCCAGTTTTCTCCTGGCCTTCCCTCCCAGGACCATGGAGCATTTTTGCTGTAATTGATTGTTCACAGTGTGCCTAGGACATGCTGTACTGACTTTGAAGTTCTTTGCTTTCTCGAGCTATCTCATTTTTTTCTCTGCTTTGGCAGATTACTGAAAAAAAAAAAATTAAAGAAAAGAAACCTCTACTGGGGGAAGATGTTCAGGCTCCTCCAACGTAGCTGTGGCTGTATTCTTACAACTTTGTTGTTACTTCTGTGTGTTGCAGAACCCATGCTTAGGATACAAGCTTCAACAGAAGGAACAAACACTTCCTCCTGTAAGTATATATAAGTTGTTTAAATTATTGCTGGCAAGACCCTCAGGTACATTTCTCACTCCCTAGCTTAGCAAAAATGTGCTTCTATCTAAACCCAGGAACAGTTGGGTAGGATTCTTACACTACAAGGTGCACTTGTTATTTTTTTTATATATATATTATAACTCTCAGAGCCATATCCATTGAGGACTGAGGGCTAAACACCTTCCTTAAGGAAGGTCAAAGCACACACTTGGGCAGGACAAAGGAGGATGAAACTGCTTTAGTGTTTCCTATCTGGAATTCTCTTCCCTGCCCTCCCCACGCAAGGTATGGTTTCAAATGCTGTCTGCTTTGCCCCTGCCTCCACAGCCCCTGGCCCTAAGGTAGCTGGAATATCCTCAGGTCCAGCCATCTCCAGCTGCAGTGCATTTCCTTTCATCCCCACGCCAGCTGGTGTATATTAGAGCTCCTAAGGCTCTTTCTCCTGTGCCTTGCTGGCCTTGGGAAAAAGATGATGAAGGTGAGGGCATCTTTTTGTGTCTCTTCCCTCAGCTGGGACAGAGAACCAGAAATGGTTCCCCTTCCTGCAGAAGAGAGATTATCTGCTCATCTCAGGAGCACACTGGGAGCTGCAGGGGTACCAGAGAGGAAGATGACTCTTTTCTTTCTCTGTAGTGATGCTTCTCAGGGAAGCATGCTTTACAGCCATAATCCTGTGCACTTTTACCCTTGAGAACCACCAGGCAGAGCCTTCTTTACCCTTATCCACCATCTACCCAGCCTGGTTTTGAGCAGTCTGGAAGGACAGTTCACACAACCAAAGTCAGCAGGGTTGCAGGAGGTAGGGTATTGTTGACCTTCTTCTAAAGCAGTAAGTATTACTGGATGCCAGGAACGGGAGGGCAGGTGAGATAGACCAGTGGTCCAATCCACCCCGATAGTTTCAGTGTTGCTATAAAATATGCTGTGTGCTCTACAGCAAAGTATACATAGATATCCTTAACTCACACCTGATAGCTACTGTACTTGTGCTTCTGCATAAGGGGGAATGGTCAAAGCCAAATCTCTGGACACAGTATGCTGACAATTTTTCATAATTTATATGAGATACAAAAGATTAATTTTCATAGATTTTCTTCTCATCTATTAGACTGATTAGTGTTTTAAGTGTGTGTTGAAGGAATTTTAGAAATCAGGTAAGTTTTTTTTTAAAGACCAAAAAGCTTTGTGCCAGCAAGGTGAGAAAAGTCCATGTTTTTGCCCTGCTGTTTCCTGTGATGGATAACAGCAGGGTAGGCAGGAATAATTTCTGGAGCAGTTTAAAACAATCATTTCTTTCTCTTCTCAGTTGCATCAATGTAAATCAGGAGTAGTACTATGCAAGTCCCTAAAATAAGTAACAAAGAGAGAGCAGTATTGGATATTTCTGCCTATGCTGTGTAGGAAAGATACTACAAAGCAGGAGGGAGCCAATCTTTATTTGATAACAGCTGTGAATGTCTACTCACACTACAGAACGATGAGGGAATTGAGTCCATGTACTTACTCTAAAGTTGCTTAAGGCTTTTCTTTTCTGAATTTCAGTGGGACATGTCCATTTCACACTTGTCACTGTCAATCTTGTAACAGCTACAGGAGATAAAATAAACTGTTTCCTTCCACTCCTCAGACAATAGCAGATGTTTCAGAGAACATGCCAGTGCTGTCACTGTTGACCAGACGCTGGGAAAGACCTGAGAACAGCAGAGTGATTCAGTAGGATGTCTCCCTTGGGCTTTCACAAGTGAACAGACACGTGTCATGCTTTGCTTTTTTGGAGTTCCAGTGACAGACGGATATGTGGAAAGCTAAAAGTTTAGAAAAATCCCATCTCTTTATGACTCTCCACAATGGACATCCCAAAACTGAAGGTGCCTCTATCCTTTTGTATGCACATCTACTTACACTCCTCAAAATCCAGCCCATTTTGAGAGTGTAGGCCTCCATTCCTAAGTAAAAGGGAAAGGGAAGACTGTGATGTATTCCCAGTTTCACATAAAGGGCTGCTGAGCAGGTTGGGGAGTCAGTAATCCAAGGAAGGAGGAGGAAATTCATGCTTTTATGTCCTGTTTCATAGTGTGAGACTTTGTGGCA